AATCGAACCATCAGGAAATGAAACAAGTGAAGGTGTTGTTCGGTCATTTATATCGCCTAGACCTAACTGTCCATTTTCATTCCAACCCCAGGAATAAATTTCATTCGTATTGGTGAGAGCAAGATTATGAAATCCACCACAAGCTATTATTTTGACATTATTCAAACCAGTGTTCACAAGAGTAACATGCGAATCTGAATTACCAGTCAATACACCATAACAATTATCACCCAAAGCGAAAACAGTACCATCTTGTCGTAACAACAAAAAATGAAGACAACCACATGCTATCATTTCAAAACGATCATTACCGTCAGATATTAATCGTAAATTATTATTCGTTTGCCAAGGTGAATTTTTATCACTGGCTAGATACACTAGTCTATCATCTGTTAAGACGACAACAAAATCGTCACCTGAATCGACTTGAATAATTTTCTTATCATTCAAAATGTCAATCTGTTGTGGTCGTTTGGGATCATGTTGTAACGATAGCCATTTGCATAATTCATCACCATAACCATAAGTGTTATCGTTGGTCATAAATAGATAACTAAATTTTTTGTTTGTATTGGTTATTTTAAAAATAGAAACGATGCTTGGAATAAATTCCGGATCAATATCTTTTAAATCATTTTGAAATAATTCAATATCCACGTCAATATCAGTTGGTGTTTTTTTCATCGTTTTTTTTCTTGAAAAGCCAATTTTGTTCTCAGCAAAATAAAAAACAATATTCAACGATGGTCTGCTACACAATACACAAGAAAATCACAAAATGTAATGCACACAATACCTGAGCCAGACAGAATCTCAAATGACATTGTATACAAAAACAAACACTCTTTAAATACACATAATTATATTTGATTTTTTTTTGTTGTAGATTACTATGCAATAGATTTTTAAAAATGAAACTTTGAACCATAAGATAATTGAATTAAAATAAAGGTGTTTACATATTATATGCATAATAAAAATATTTTGTAAAAATATAAAGTGTCCGTTATCAGCGTTTCCGAGAAAAAAATCATAGCCTGTGGAATTTTTTTCAAAATTTTTTACAAACGACGCATACAAACATATGCGTGGCGGGTAGCGAGCCTGTTATTTGTTACATTATTTTTTTTTTAAATTTTATTTGTTAATTGAATATTGCTTTTGTGCTAATTTGTAATTTATGATCATCAAGCACATGATTAATGATGATTATAAATCTTAAAAAGATACTCGTATTGGATAATGAAAGTAATTTTTTATTTGATTTCGAATGAACATTACAACAAAAAAAAAACAAAAACAAATTTAATGTGACGATGGAGGGTTATTATTATAAAATATTGTTGATCATATACATTGAACAATGATTTTAATGATGATTATCATAAAACAGAAAAAGATTACTCTTGTTGTTGTTGTTGATGTTTAGAAAACCATTCCAGAAAATTCATGAAATTTTTACTATTCATTGAAAGATTATCATTAACAAATTTTGATAAAATATTCTTGAATATTATTAATTTGTTTGAAATCATTTCATAATTATATAATTCATAATCGATTATCAATGATAAATAAGTAGATATGGTTGATTTATTTAGCAATTTTTCAATAAATATTTGACAATGTTTCATTAATTGTTCATCACAATAACAATTGGCCAAATCAATAAATTCGGCTATATTGAATTGATTGATTTGAATTTGGCCAGTATGTAACATACCTAGATATGAATAATATACATCATAACTATAAGCACCAATCATTACTCGATTAGTATTTTCTTGCCACACACCTGAAAACATTCGACTATAATATTTTGATGCTATTTTTAGATAACATTTACAAGCCAGTATTGGTTTGTTATCGATTACAAATTCAACATCATAATTATCTGGATTATTGAATAATCCAACAATTGATATCGTATAATTTGATTCATATGTATCGATTGTTGATGTTAGACCAAAAGTAATTGGTGATTCGCCTAAAATTGAGACGGATGCTGCAGCAAATGAATCCAATTGACCATATAATTTTCTCATTGGTAATAATTCATCATTTTGTCCTCTACCCCATACATAATAACGTGAAGATTGATCCAATGCCAATGAAAAAGGAAGATAATTTTTACAAGCTACATTTTTAACATTTTCAATTGGTATTTTTATAGGAACTATTGTATCACGTTTTTGATTAATAGAACGTTGACCATAACCACATCCAAAAATTTGACCATTTTCGAGTAAAAATAATGAATGCATTTCACCGGCTACAATATTTTTGATTGGACTATCAATCGAACCATCAGGAAATGAAACAAGTGAAGGTGTTGTTCGGTCATTTATATCGCCTAGACCTAACTGTCCATTTTCATTCCA